ATGAATATAATATGGGTAGTTTTGCTGCCACGAGGCAAATATGTCATATCCTTTTGTTCCAAATCCGAAAGTTATTTATTTTGGTAATAGCTTCGAGACAAACGCACATACAAACTCGTTCGATTTATTATTATTATTATTATTGTTGTTTTTGTATTTAGTATTTAAGGGTTTTAGGATATTCAGCAGTTGACGAAAGAGTAGTTGACGATAAGGTGACCGCGAGCGTAACCCTGACCGTCGGTGTCAAGCTGTCGGAAAACGCCCTCGTCCAAGTCCAAACCGCCGTTGCTGCACTGATCCACTATTCTCACCGTCGCTTGCGCTCCCGTTCCCGTGTTCGTCACCTGCGTTTGTGTTTATATATATTAATGTTTCTAAACTTGCTTTACATATATTATAACCAAAGCAAAAAAAAAATGCTCACCCTTAGGCATCTTCCACAGGCATCACGACCACGAGGTCCAGCCGGGCCACAGAACGCGGTCCAACCGTAACGCCGACGCCATTCGAGCGGTTGGTTCCCATCCCACGTTGAGCAAAACGCGCTCACTCTGAAAAGGTCCCATCCGTTTTGAGCTGGGTTGTAAAAATGGTATGTCGCCCTAACGCTAGACGCGCTTTGTGCGTTCGCTTTGGCCGCAAACGCAAACGCGCATAGGAACATCATCACACATATGCTAAGTCTCCCCATTTTGTTGCTGCTGTTGTTGCGATAGTTGTAATAAACAGATCGGGAGAACTATTTATTTATAGGGAGGGATTATTTATTTGGAATTTCCAAAATTGTCCTTTGGAAAAGTCTTTGAAGTGTTTGAGGTTTACTTGTCTTTGGTTTTGAATTTTCAATTTTCAATGCTATTATTTCTTTTTTTTTTTTACAAATACAATGAATTTTAATGATGGGTCTTTTAGAAATTTTTTATCTAGAGATTACGATTACGTACAGAATCCTCCATTTCATATATATACTTTACAATATAATATATATGTATAATATCGAAATCATATAAAATATAACTAATTTGATCGAAAATATATAAGATATAGATATATAATATATGAAGATATTCGTGCTATTGTTTTTTTTAACAGACACATCAAATTTTAGATTTTTAATGATGGGTCTCACAAAAAAGTTTTTTTTAATGTATATATTGATAATAAAACAACATAAATGTACGATTAGTTAGGTACAGAATCATAAGGTAGATATTTTCGTTACCGGTATGTAAAAAACCTACAGGTTATTGGGATACAAAACCTAACTGTTGATGGGATAATATATATACAACGTAACTAAAATTGAAATTAATTTCAAAAATCGATTGGATGTGATTTTTCTAAAACTAAATTAATTAGTTGAATCCAAATCGAAATCGAATATAACAGACAAAATCGAATAAAACGATTTTTTTTTTTTATATAAATGGGCATTCTTATTGAAAAGTGAATTCATACTTGACCGAATAAAAATTGAACTGGACAAAAAACTAAGATAAAAAATTAGATGGATATAGTTTTTGGGAACTGTGATAACCAAATTTGAAAATAACTAAACCGAAACATAATGAGCCTCAAAATATCTGCCCTAAAAATTCCATTTTACAGATATACATCAAAATCATATTAAATACATATCATGTAGATAGTTTTGTATAAACATATGCAAATTTATCGATATTTTTTTTACCGTCATATTTCTATTAATTAAATGCGATGATGGAAAACAAAATATCTGACTTGCTAATTAAATTGTTTTAACATACCACATGTTTCAATATTTTAAAATACTTTAGGATATAATACCACAAACGAGAAGAAAAAATCCTATATTTTATGATGATGGACAACAAAAATATATAACTTGCTAATTAACTTATTTTAGCATACCACATATTTCAATATTTCAAAATACTTTATAATATAATACCACAAACGAGAAGAAGAATCCTATATTTTATAATGATAGAGAACAAAATATCTGACTTGCTAATTAATTTATTTTAGCATACCACATGTTTCAATATTTTAAAATACTTTAGAATATAACACCACAAACGAGAAGAAGAATCCTATATTTTATTAAAATAATCCTATATTTTATGATGATGGACAACAAAATATCTGACTTGCTAATTAAATTATTTAATTAGCATACCACATGTTTCAATATTTTAAAGTACTTTAGAATATAATACCACAAACGAGAAGAAGAATCCTATATTTTATTAAATTATATAAAATTATATTAAAAATATATCGACTAGTATAATATCTCTTTACCAAAAAACCATACAATCTATAGAATTTAATGTTAAATAATTCAACATAATTTATTATGTGGCATTAATCAGATAGAGGAATATCAAACGACGATAAGATAATTGCATGTTGCAAAAACACCGTTCCGTTGAGTTTTCTACGTCATATCAACATCCAGAAAATTCTTTTATTTTTTTTATTTGTGCGTGTTTCAGACATGATTTCAAAAATTTTAATCTCATATATCGATTACTTAGTTATCGGAATGAAACTGAAAATTTGAAATACAATTCCGTGGTCCAATGAAATTATTATCATTATTAATATCGCACAGGGTATATTCCACGTGCACATAACGAGAGCGGTCCATACGTGAGTACACGGGAATTCATTTTTTCATCGGAGACCTTGGAAATATGAACCCATCAAACACCGTCAAGGAAGGAGGGAAGGGTATTTTGGGAATTGGACTCCAAGAGCTCGTTGCCGCAGTCAACGAATTGGTAGTCAACGATAAGATGGCCCTGTTGGTAGCCAACTCCATCCGTGTCCAATCTATTGAACACCCCGACGTCCATATCTAACCCTCCGTTGCCGCATTGGTCCACTATTCTCGCCGTTACTTGAGCCCTCGTCCTCGTATTCGTTATCTGCATGCCCCATGCATCGTGCCCATAAACAATTTTACATCATTTATTTCAGTTTGCGGTAAATTAAATTTTATATAAAATTAAAAGATTTGTTGAAATAAAATTATGTTATTTATTTAAATTCAGTCCACTATTAATAACAACAAAAACGATAATCGATTGGCTAATTAATTATAAAATCAAACACACGTATACGTTTTAATTAAGCACTTGACACCCCTACAAGACGGTCTAACTATTTTTATGTAAATTATAGTTTTTTTATTTGTTTTATAGAATAATATTTTTATTAAAATAAAACTATACTATCTATCTATCTAACATATAATTGTCAATAACGATTACTCTACGATTTGTGAACCATGCATTGATTAACCATAAAATCAAACATATACATACCCTTAAGCACTTGCCACAAGAGGCCTGACCACGAGGTCCGACAGGTCCACATAAGGCGGTCCAGCCGTATTTGCTACGCCACGTGTACGGCTTTTTCGCATCCCACGTGGAGCAATAAGCGCTCACCGCTCTCAAGTCCCAATTGTGCTGCTCAGGGTTGTAGTAATGGTAGGTGGCGCGTATGTTTGACGCGCTCTCTCCTCCCCCACCGCCACCACCACCACCGCCGCCGCCCCAACAGTTGCTCTGGCAATTCTTTTCCGGCGAACAGTAATCCTCCGTATCACCACAGTAACCGTATTGGCTGCAACATAGGTTGTCGGGGCAAGTCCGGCCACCGGCTTGTCGGCCGCACTGTTCTCCGGCCACCGCCGCCGTGTACAATAACAAGACTACGAAGGCTATTGATAGACCTTGTTTATTCATTCTGGCCTATCTGTGTGTAATGGTAATGATGCGAATGTAGAGTGCGTGGTAGGGCTGGGCAATTAAACCCGATATCCGCGGGTAAGCGGATATCCGGTTTTGTGGGTACCCGAAAAATAGGTACTCGGCACCTGACGAAGACAAAAACGAATATTAAAAACTAGAATACCCTTCATACGGATACGGGTTCGGATTTTATATATTGAATTAACGGGTATCCGCGGATACCCACATATATATTAAAATTACAAAATTAACCTTATATTTTTAATATAATTTCTAAAATACTTAGGTTATTTTTACTTTCTTTTAAGAATATATATTGGATTTTCAAGTTTTGATATATTCAACTTCAAATTATTGTGTATATTTTAAAATATTTCTAGGATTCTATCCATATTAATATATTTTAAAAAAATTAAACTTAAAAATATATTTTTTAGAATAAAAATATATATTTTTATTGATTATTTGGTTTAATTTTATATTGTTTAATATTTGTTATACGGGTACGGGTACTCGCGGGTACCCATCTTTTAGTTATGAGTTATGAGATAGAGATAGAGATAACATTTCTCTGAAATCCACGAAGACGAAAACGAAGACGGATATCTCAAAAAATTCGGGTATCCGACCCGTGTCCAGCCCTAGTGCGTGGTTATATTGTGATGTATCTCATCGATATGACGAAAATGCCCTTTGTATTTGTTTACAATTTACCCTCTCTGTGTACCCAACTAAGTCATATAATCTAAATTGGAATTGCTAGTCAAAGAAGTAGATTTTACTTAGATTGTGGCCGTCGATTATGGACCGTTGATATATCGTTTGGGCGATTGCTTGGAAGTCAAAGTAATCAGATCGGACGGCTTGGAACCGATTTGATGATAATGACGTTCTGTGATGACGAGAGGCGGCTACTTGTTGGATAATTTGGCAGATACAAAGTCGCTCTCGATTAGTTTTGATCATTTGACGGAGTTATAATTTTTTTTTTTGGTATGAATTGACGGAGTTATAATTGATATGACGGTCCATTGAAATATACAGTATAGTTTATCTACTTTTAACTTATTGGTTATTTAAATATTTATATAGCTAGCAGAGCTGAAATTTTCAACTCTAAGATTGAGCTAGCAAGCCGAAATAAACCAACATAATTTCGTTGTAATTAATGATAATCAACCTTAAGACCAGTCCGAATGGCTTTAATATGCTTCCGTGTAGGAAATAAATATTTTAAACAAATTAATGTCTATTATGCAATCTTGATATCTATTAATGCTAGGTCGTAGAAAATGTATACAGATCTTAGACATCTATTACACACACATGTATAAGTGTGTATGCGTACATATATATGTATTTATGTGTACATGTGTGTACATATATGTATGTATGAACATGCATATGTCTATAGGTAATATATATGCATGTATAGACACCATTAAAAAAAACCGTATTTTATGCATTTCTTCATGCAATACACTATCTATAACACAATAATATGCGGTAATAACTTTTTGGTAGGAACACTATAATGAAGCGAAAGTATTGTAAGTTAAGTTAAATTAAATTAATGATATTGGCAAATATTTAGATTTTATTTAATTAAATTTAAAAGTTGAAATTTGAAAGAAAAAAAGGAAAAATAATCGTCCATTAAATTGCAAAACGTTTTGAAACGCTAAAAACCCACGATTAGTTCGATGAAACGTCGAACATGTCTTGTATTGAACGTAAAAATCAGCGTTTTGATGAATTAGTTGGAGGATTTGATGAAATCAGTGGAGCCGAAAACGCAATCGCAGTTGAAATTGGAATTGAGAGAGATGGAGATGGATTTAATTTCTAACGCACAAAAACGCAATCGGCGTTTGAGCCATGGTGAGGACGCGCGTCTGACCCATGGTGATAAGAATTGTTTTTTAAAAAAACGAGAAAACAAAAAACTGAAAAGAGATCCGGACAAGATTTGAATGTCGGTTAAAAGGCCTAACATGTGGGCCCTCCTCAGATAAGTGGTGGGCCTGTATTCATATTTATCCACAATGAATAATCCATCACGTCCAACGGAGCCCATCAACACATAGTACATTACTAAATTAAACTCTACAAAAGATATAAATTTTCAAATATTGTTCATATTTAAAATATAAATATTCAGCTGTTATGTATCATTAACGTTTTCAAAATATAAATATTTTAATTGTCATTAAAAAATTTATTATTTTAATAATAGTTGATGATATTTTGAGCAATTATTTATTTATGACAAAATTTAAAATAATTTCTATAAAATTTTTATTTATTTATTTGATTTTTTATGCTTTTATGTATTTAGATATATATATATATATACACACACATTATTTTTCTCTAAGCGATCGAAACATCCCATATGAGTGATAGATCAAATTAGGAAATAAGATATTTTGATTATTTAAATTTTAGGAAAATATGAACAAGATTGCATCGGTTACAAAAGAAACAATAAAAATATATAAATCTTGAAAACCTTTTGGTAAATAATGATATCAAATCAAAGTAGGAACTTTTGTGGGCCATTTCTTATCCCATAAATAACAAATCTAGTATTTTCCATATTTACACATGAAATGGACCCCACCAATGAGTAAAATTAACCAATAATATATAGACTTCCTTATTTACTATATTACCCTTTTTGCCACATCAGTCTGACTCGGATTTGGGCCCGAAAAGCGCTGAAAAAATATTATTATTATTAAACCAAACTATTTTATTAAAAAAACAAAACATTAATTAAAAACAATTTTTAACCAATGAAATTCATATAAAACTTTAGTTTTTTAATTAAATATTAGTTTACACTTGATTAAGGTTATTTTCTTATTTTCATAAAGATTGGGATATTTATCCAATAGATAAAGAAATTTAAGGGTGAAATATGAATATTTCAAAAAAAAAAAGCCAAACAAAATATAATAAAAATAATAAAAAGAAACATATAAGTAAGGATTGGTCACTTGGATAAGGAGAAAAATTGTGGGAAAAAGCTGAAGCACAAGTGGTACAAAAATGGAAAGAGTATTCTCCGTCGAAGAAATCTCCGGCGAGTTGTGGCCGGCGGCGTCGGACAAGGAGACGGAGGACATGGTCTCCGGAGATGCCGATGGAACGGCGAAGATGAACCGTAGCGCCTCCGAATGGGCATTCCAGCGATTCATCCGAGAATCCTCCTCCTCCTCCGCTGCCGCCACCGACGGTGGCACCGGAGAAGGTTTGGGGCCGAACGGTATCTCCGCCGCAGGATCTCCTTCTCCAGGTGTTCTGGTTGATTCTGAGGAGTATCGGGCTTACCTGAAGAGCAAGCTCAATCTAGCTTGCGCTGCCGTAGCCATGAAAAGGGTAAGCCTCTCGTTCTCTCCCTAATCCGTAGGATCGGTATATTTTCCGGGGAAAAGACAACGTTATGCTTCCTTGTTTGTCTCCCTGTTGTTTTCTTAGTCGATGTTTGGTCTCCGAGAAACTTGGGGATGCATGGAAGAGCTTTTAGTTTTGGTAACTGTTCCTAGAAAATTTGTTCCAGGAACAGGAAACATCAAATATTGGAGCTAGAAGCTTCATAGTTGTCGAACATTTCTTTCAGATTTCAATCTAATTTCTATGTACAGTCGGGCTTAGAGATAGCAGAAGGCTAGATTTACACGTTTCACGAAACTATGTGCTAAGATATGATCTGATTCGCCCTTTTGTTTCAGCAGCTTGGTCTCATTCGATTTTTGGTTTAAAGGGGATTTCGGTAACTTAGAAGGAGAACAGAGGGAGAATGTATGCATTTTTAGCTTAAGACTTTCTTCAGTGTCATGCATCAGAATGGCTTCTCATCAGTTCATGTTTCCCCCCCTTCTATTGCAAGAATGAATGAACGATCTTTGCTTAATCAAATGAAAGATGATCGATTTGCAATTTCAATACCGATAGGCATCTTTCACAAAACCTCAGGAAATGGCCGGTGGAGCTGACAGTGGAGCACAACAGGCATATCCAGCAAGTTCCAAAGGTTTGTGCTGCCTCATACCATATGAACTGATTCTTCAAGAGATTCGGTAAATTGGGATGTTAGAAAAATCACAGTGTCACTATGATCTTTTCTTGTTCCTGCTTTCTTGGCAAATCAATTCAGTTGGGAGACGCTTTCTTGTTGCAGCAATGCCAAAGAAACCTTGCGCTCCTGTCAAGTCTATAACAAGCGGATCTGAAATCTCTGGTGATGAAGAAGCTGATGCTGAAGCTGAAACAACTGGAAATACGGCCCCTCTCGATGTTAAGCGTGTGAGAAGGTAATCTCATCCATCTTTGTATTTACTCTTCCATTGTTACATCTTTCTTGTTTTGTTTTCCCCGCATGAACTGCTATCCACAATACCCAGAGAGATGTCAATAGATAAGCCCAAATCAGCTGAAATCCGTGTCTCCACTAACCTGAACAGCCTTGTCCTGATTTGCAAGCATTAGGATTCGGTTGAAAGATAAATCTCCTGGGAGCAGCTATAAAGAAGGAGGAGTTCAGTAATTCTTGACCGTGATTTGTTTCTTGAATGTAACTTGTCTGTTGTTCTCTGTTCAACAGGATGCTTTCGAACAGGGAATCTGCTAGACGATCCAGGGGAAGAAAGCAAGCACACTTGACAGAGCTAGAGACACAAGTATGTACATTTCAAGATGTTCTTTTCTCTGTGCCTCTCATCGATATATGTATATATATATTGATACACCACTGCCAATCTCATTTGATGTTTTCTTGCAGGTCTCTCAGCTGCGTGTTGAGAATTCTACTCTCTTGAAGAGTCTCACCGATGTATCCCAGACGTGTAATGACGCAGCTGTAGAGAACAGGGTTCTGAAAGCCAATATCGAAACGTTACGAGCAAAGGTGACATGACTCTCTATTGATATTTCCCGCATCGGAGTAACTGAAATTCAATCAGATTGCATTCATAGCACCACATAACAACGAATGGTTAGATGTTGTTCGGACAATTGTTGTTATCCTTAGCCAATGTTGGCAGCAGCTTATGAACTATAATTCATGGGTTAGAGTCAGTAATCATTCCTGTTTCATAAGGGAGGTTAAAGTTACTGACTTTATCAGCTTTTCATCACAACTCACCCTTTAACCATCCAAATTGGATGCTTACGAGCTCGCCCGAGAAGCCATTAACTGTTGTAACCCAGTTAAAATGCTGTTTAAACATTTCTTCTTCCAGGTGAAAATGGCTGAGGAGACAGTGAAGAGAATCACAGGCTTAAACCCCATATTACCAGATGTTTCCGCTCTATCCGTTCCTTCCTTCCACGGCAGTCCCTCCGAGACGTCCGCGGACGGAGCCGTTCCCGTGCAAGACGACCTCAAGAATCACATTTTCCGGCCTTCTCCTAACAGTTCTCTTGTCGCGGATAACAACGTGGCCGAGGTTTCTTCGGCCACAAGCAAGGCCTTGACGGGGTGCAAGACCGGAAGAACGGCTTCACTGCACAGAGTTGCCAGTTTGGAGCATCTGCAGAAACGCATTCGCAGCGCTGGCGAGCCCTAGCCATTTGCAGAAAAATCGAAACCCTATAAAGAGATTCAGACATCTCTGGTGAGATTTAACTCTTAACACTTGTTCTTCTTCCCTGCTTTTCTTTTTCCACTTTGAATATTAATCAATATTTATTTACCATTGTATATATAGCAAATTCAACTTAAGTAGAACAGTGAATGTAATTAACATATCAAATGCCTGATCAATTAATAATTTTTTTTTGGACACAAGTCTTTTCTTCATTTTGTTTCGTAATAGATGCCAGTAGACAAGTACAATATAAATGGTATTTAATGTATTAATATTTATTTATTTATTTGTATGTTATTATAACCTTCTCGTCGGCTAGACACGGGTCGAATACCGGAAAAAATCGAGAGATTTGGATTTGGATCCTGAAGACTCGTATATTTAACTATAAGATTTGTATCTGGGGTACGTGTATCTGGAATAATTGTTGGGTATTCGCGGGTATCCGGATCCGGATTTATTTAAGAAAAACAACAATATTCATATATAAAATTTTCAAAAAATGACTATATATTTATAAAAATTGATGAATTATGATAAAATATATTAGACAAAAGAGATAGTAGGAGGTAAATAATAATAAATTTAATTTTTTTGAATTAATATTAAAAAATATGATATTATTTAATCTAAAATAATTATATTTTATAAAAATATTATATAAATATAAGATATAATTATTTATAATCATAATAATCGGGTACCCGCGAGTATACGGTTTTAAAAATTCTATTATTTGGATTTGGATTCGGATCGATTCACGGATATTGAAAATTCGAGATTTGGATTTGGATTTGAAAATTACGAGTACCGTAAAATCAGGTATATGTGAGATGAGTATCCGACAGAGATCCGATTTTCGGGTATTTGTGACCCGTCCTACCTTCTGAATTAAAAAAAAAACTACAAATGGATGAATGATATTTTTTGAAGGAGCAGAACATTTGGCGGCGGTGCGAGTCTAAGCAAAAAACAGAACTCCAGCCAATAGAATTTATTTTTTATTCGTTTCGAAATATCCCTTTTGCTAAACGGTCACATGGGTAAAATTCCATTTTGTTAATTACTATACGATAAAAAATAATAATGCTGTATTTCTGTTATTTCAATTTTCCATTTTGTTAATTATGGGCTAATAAAACATTTAAAATCTGAGATAAAACGGCCCAATTGGGCCCAAACCGCAAAGGCTCGATTTCTTTTTTTTTTTCTTTTTTAATTATCTTTCTCCGTCGTCTCCTCCAGCCAACCAACCACTCGCGCCTAAACCACTCCAATGGCTTCCTTATCCTTCGTCTCTTCCTCCCACCTTAACCTGCGCACCCCTGCGCACCCCCTCCTCCTCCTCCTCCTCTTCCAGATCCACTGTCTCCTTCTCCATCAGAGCCCAATCCACCGCCCTCACCCAGGATGACCTGAAGAAGCTCGCGGCGGAGAAGGCCGTCGACTCCATTAAATCCGGCATGGTCCTCGGTCTCGGCACCGGCTCCACAGCCGCCTTCGCCGTCGACCGGATAGGTGAGCTTCTCAGCTCCGGCGTGCTCTCCGACATCGTCGGCATCCCGACGTCGAAACGCACGGAGGAGCAGGCTCTGTCGTTGGGGATCCCGCTCGTCGCGTTAGACACGCATCCCCGGATAGATCTCGCCATCGATGGAGCCGACGAGGTGGATCCGAACCTGGATCTGGTCAAAGGCCGAGGCGGCGCGCTTCTCCGGGAGAAGATGGTGGAGGCGGCGGCGGAGAAGTTCATCGTGGTGGCGGACGAGACGAAGCTAGTCGATGGACTCGGCGGAAGCGGTCTGGCCATGCCAGTGGAGGTTGTTCAGTTCTGCTGGAACTACAATTTGATCAGATTGAGAGATCTGTTCAAGGAATTTGGGTGCGAAGCGAAGCTGAGAAGCGATGGAGATGGGAAACCCTACGTGACGGATAACAGCAATTACATCGTGGATTTGTACTTCAAGGAGCCATTGAAGGACGGATTCGCGGCGGCGAAGGAGATGGAGAAGTTTCAGGGAGTGGTGGAGCATGGCCTGTTTCTGGGTATGGCTACGTCGGTGATCATCGCCGGTAAGAATGGCGTTGAAGTGATGAGCAAGTGAAGATGATGAGCTCAGAGACTGATTTCTCTCCCTTCTTCCATGGCGATTTTTCTTCGGATCCGTTGTTTCTCGACTGATTTAGCAGAAGGAGGTTGGTCTCGTTGTTCAATTTGTGGAAATAGACTCATGCTTGGTGTCACCCAGATCAAATGTTGTCATGAAACAAATCTAAATTGTTGGAAACTATGCTAAAGTCTGCAACTCAGATCATAAGTTTCGAACTTTGTAGAATGGGAGCTTTGATTAAAGAGAAATGGCGGCTGAACTGTTTCAGGACTAAGCGTAGGCTTATTCATGGATCCAAGACAGAGCATCGTTGCTCTTCTCTGTCTGTCTTTGGTAGTGTTGCAACTCAAACGCAAACGCAAACGCAAACGCAAACGCTGGTTTGGTCGGTTATGGGCTTGCTAAACAGAACGGGCTTGGATTGAAACTTGAAATGAAAACAAATTTGAGCCCAGGCCCATTACAGATGATGACGTGGACAGGCTTAGATGGGGCAACTTCCAAATTACCCTTAATGGTGCTAGACGCACTTCTTCTCCTACTACCCTTCATTTTAAAAAAAAATTTCAACTTCCAATCTACCCTTTTCAATAACATATTACCAAAATACTTTAAGATATAATTTTTTAATTAAAAAAAAAAAAATTCCCCTTTTTATAGAGTTTCTCTCTCCTCCCATTTTTAATTTTTTAATTAAAAATAAATAAAAAATAAAATTTTCTCTTTTTTCTAAAGTTTCTCTCTCCTCCCATTTTTTGCACGTTTCTCTCTCCTTCTGCCATTATTTTCGATTGAGCTTTCTCTCTCTTCTATATTTTATCTCTCCTATTTATTTTGATATTTTGTCCTAAAAATTTGCAGAAATTGGATGAAATCAAAGGAAAATCAATAAGAAAACTAAACATATGTAAGCTAGTGTGGAAATCCCGATTTTTTTCCATGCACATTGATGCTTTTGTGGTTTTTTCTTCTAGTTGTTGTTCTTTCCGCAGTTCCTTCGTTTGTAGTATATTTCGGTCACAACCTAAAATTTTGCTCATGGAAGTATTGTTGAACATAGTGGAAAACGAGATGATGTATATTATGAGGAGAGAACAACTAATTTAGAGTGAAAAAATAACCATAATTTTTATAATAATTGTGTGGTATATTTGTATACTAACGTATTACAAACCATTTGTACAATAATATCCAAAGACCCTAATAATTTTGTAATGTGTTTGTACAATAATGTGTTAAAATTTTTGGATAATATTGTGTCTGTACTATATTAATTAATATTGTACTTTTAACCTTGTATTTTCGCATATATATGACTCGTGTTGTACACTAAATAAATTGACTCACATGAGCCAACGTTGTGACCCATTGTGACCAGCATATGACTGTGTGACCGAAGTGCAATTTTACACGGTGTGACCATTGTGACCGATTGTGACCCGTGACCGAAATGTGTTGATAAATATAGACCCAAATTTAATTTTTAAGCTTTGGAGTGATTTATCAGGGTCTATATATCAAATATATAGTGTATGTGAGAAATTTTAAGAATATTTTAAGGGATTTATAGAAGAAATATCCCAAATTTGTCAAAAACACTCATAAAACACTATGAAATATATAGAAACACATTTGGAAGAACAATTTTGAAACATAAAAATCGCAAAAACCGTATTCTAATGTTCGAAACAATAGAGAATAGACTTATGAGATATGTGTGACGTTGTAGAGTAATTAAATTGACAAAAATCGCATGGATCGAAGGTTGTGACCGGTTGTGACCGACTGTGATCCATTGTGACTGAAATGTGATGTGGGACCCACATGAAGAACTAGTCAGATTTCTCCAGATTTTTATGTTTCGTAGGGTCCACAATCATTATTTCTATTTTTTTGCTTTTAACGTGGGGCCCAAGTTGAATATTCAACCCTATATAATTTCTCTTTTAACCCTATATTTTTTTCCTCTCAATTTTTAATTCCAAATTTTTATCTACAACATTTTCAACCCAGAATTTTTTGTAAAACATTAAAAAGTTCAGATTTGTATTAAAAATAATACCACAGATCGCATAGATCATATTTTAATGTTAAAAATAATACAAAAGTAGACATGTGAGAGATGTTAAAGCATCCACAATGATTAAACTGAAAAAATCTCATAGATCGAACCATGTGACTAGTTGTGATCCATTGTGATATATTGTAACCGAAATGTGTTACAGAATCCACACGAAGAATTCGTCAGAAAAGCGACATAGATTTCTATTCGGTGAGTCTCAACCTAGATTTTTCCTACAAAAATTTTAACTTAGATTTTTCTCTAAAACATAAATAAGTTCAGTTTTTTAATAAACAAAAACCAAAAATAAAAATTCATAATTTAGGATACTAGTAAAAAAATAAAAAGAGATCATAGTTAGGGTTCAAAATAATATAAAAAAAGCATTTAGAAAAATAAAAGTTCATGCTTTCTTCTTCCGTTAGTATGATTCTAGATCGCCCAAAGTTGTCATGTCTCCCGATTCTACTCATGCGTTGATCAACTCTATGAACATGGTATCACATACCAAGTAATTGCATCCTATATAGGTCATGGGATGCTTTATAATACGGGTTCGGAGTTTATACATCGCCTCTTCCATGCGCTACAAAACAAAATAACATATGTCAGCAATATTATTCAGATATCACTGTGTGACACTGTGGCCGTGTGACAATGTAACTATGTGACTGTGTGACTATGTGACTGTGACCATGTCACCGTGTGACCATGTGACCATGTGACCGTGTGACCGTGTGACCATGTGACCATGTGACCGTGTGACCATGTGACTATGTAATCTTACAATATATGTGATCTATATTCCGTGTGACAGAAGCCCTTTCTAGAAACTTGGACTCTATAATGCATTCAGTCATTAGAAATCCTCCTCACAAATTCCATCGTCATAGTGGAAGGACGTTGAATACTTCTCTTTCAAGAGATTTTGTGCATTGGCGAGAAGGAGGTTCATGTATAGAGGAGGAACTCGAATCACCTTCTTCACCTTTCTTACCTGTTTGCATGGAATCGCCTCCTCCGACATAGATCCGCCGAAAGCTCAGGAACTCCAAACCAAGCCCACCACCGAGTTCTTCCCATGGTTTCGAACATATGCAACTGTTACCGCTTAGCTTCTCTCATCTATAACCTCTAGTCTAAAAACTTTCAGAAAACTGAAAGATGACAGCTCCAGAAATTAGGATTCTATTCTATCTTGTAGACCGTGATTGCTTTTGTCCTCGGGTTTGGAGCGTCGGCTTACGCAATGGAAAATCTTCTCCTTGTCTAAATTAGAGGACAGAGAGAGCGTTGAGACATGAGTGAGGAGAGAGATAGAGAAAATCGTAAGTTAGAGGAGAGAGAGAGCGTTGAGATATGAGTGAGGAGAGTGAAGATGTGAGTGAGGAGAGAGATTACTATTTCACCATTTCATCGTTTTTTTTTTACTTTAGTTTTTTTTTTAAAATTTAATACAAAGGTTTTTGGTCTTTTCATAAATATTTGAGAGTTTTTGTGTCTTATGCTATGTGAAAGAGTCTTTTTTATTTAATTTTTTTTTTCAAAGGTAGTATCAGAAGTCTAGCGGTCAAAGGGTATTAGAGCTATTTCCTAGGATTGATACAAAGTAGTTGAATTTCTTTGATCCATGGACCCAAGCCCAGTATATATGATGACGTGGCAGCCCAACACTTATTGATGACGGGCCGAATTAACTCCTAGGAATTTCCTTCGAACAAAGGCCGAGGATTAGGGTTTGATTCAGTAGCTGCGCGGCTTCTTCTTCTTCTCCGCTCCTCGCCGCCGCCGCCGCCGCCGCCGCCGTAGCTACCTGAAGATCCCCAAGCATGGCCGTCGGGTAATTTATCTCTTCATCGCGTATTCTTTGGAGATTGTATCGGCGTAGTTTATGTCGACCTGTATCGGTGGTTACATCACTAGTTTCAAATTCTTTGCTTCTGATCCGTCTCTTCCCGTGTTTCAGGAAGAACAAGAGGATCTCCAAGGGTAGAAAGGGAGGGAAGAAGAAGGTGTAAGTGAATGCTCTGAGAATTGTTTCTGATGTTCGATGTACTACATTAGTTCATGTTACCGCTTACATCCGTGTGTATAGATTCCCGCGTGTTCCTGAATTTGAATATTTACGTGGTGATTCTGTCTGTAATCAACAGGGTTGATCCTTTCTCTAAGAAGGATTGGTATGACATTAAGGCTCCCTCAGTTTTCAGCGTCAGGAATGTCGGGAAAACCCTTGTTTCTAGAACGCAGGGTACCAAGGTAAATTCCTCTAAGTCGATTTGTCCGAATCTCTTAGGAGTTCGATCCTTGCAATAGAGTGAAGCTTGGAGTTTATCGGGTTTTCCCCGGACAAAAAACCGTAAATATTTGGGTAGGAGATGTACGGGATAGTATAAAAATGGAAACTGTACTGATTTAGAGAGTATGGATTCTTCTTTAGGACAGTTGCTTAATCTGATCGCCAGGATTCAGAACATTCTAGGTTGGGATAATGGCTGTCTCTTTAGATTACTGATGTGGTTAGTGGTTAATGTTTAATTACTGTCAGAGATTGCCGCCTATCTCCTTCTGTGTTGGATCATTAAGTGCATTTGGTTAAAGCCTGACCGTGTTTTTGTTTCCAAATTTTATCAGATTGCCTCTGAAGGATTGAAACATAGAGTTTTCGAGATATCCCTTGCCGATCTTCAAGGTGATGAGGATAACGCTTACAGGAAGATCCGTCTCAGAGCCGAGGATGTTCAGGGCCGGAATGTGCTCACTAACTTCTGGGTAAGCCTCCTTCCACTCACTGAAAATCCATTTCCAACTCGTTTCTTTTCCCCCTTTAGAGAAGTGAAAGCCACACATTAACTGTTTATGCTATCTTTAGGGCATGGATTTCACGACGGACAAGCTCAGATCGTTGGTTCGCAAGTGGCAGACTCTGATTGAATCCCATGTCGATGTCAAAACCACCGACAACTATACCCTCAGATTGTTCTGCATTGCCTTCACCAAGAGACGTGCCAACCAGGTGAAGCGTACTTGTTACGCTCAGTCCAGCCAGATCCGTCAGGTATTGATATGTAATATACATGTATACATTTTCACCCCCACTAACACAGCTTTGTACCTGTTCCGAAAAGTGGTTATTTTTCCTCGAGAGTCCTTTGAAATTTACACATTTTTCAGATCCGGAGGAAGATGAGGGAAATCATGGTGAAGGAAGCTTCATCGTGCGACCTAAAGGAGCTCGTGGCCAAGTTCATTCCCGAGGCTATCGGCAGAGAGATTGAGAAGGCAACACAAAGCATCTACCCTCTGCAAAACGTGTTCATCCGTAAAGTCAAGATCCTCAAGGCTCCGAAATTCGATCTTGGCAAGCTCATGGAGGTAAAACAATCAAAAAGTGTTGTTCCCCAAACCCACTGATACCAACAGATCATATTTTAAGGACCAAGCATAATCCAAAACCCGACAGTTATCAGTTGTGCCTGTTTGTTTTTTAGGTTCATGGCGATTACTCGGCTGAGGATGTCGGAGTGAAGGTAGAGAGGCCAGCTGACGAGACCATGGCCGAGGAACCTACAGAAATAGTTGGAGCTTAGAAGAAAGATGAGGCTGCCGTCTCCTCTGTCTGAAAAATGTAATGTTTCAATGCTTTTGTCAGTCACGCAATAGCCTCGTTCTCTAGTATGAATTTTGATCCATGATTCTACTCCTTTCCTGATGTTATTAACATTTAAAAAATTAGCAAACATTCATCATCAGTTTACATTCTCCCCTTTGAATTTGACATCCTAAACAGTATTTCACATTCTAAACAAAGACTTCTATATATATATATAAAGACTGACACAGAAAATGAAGAATCGCATCATACACTACAAACAAACAGAGGTGGAAAGAACCTGACCAGAGAGAGCTACAAGATGAATCTGAAAAGTACTGGAGATTGAATTGTTGCAAGTCTCTCATGGTACACAACTCAGTAGTATCATTCGGTTTCCACTGCTTACAATGCCCTGACCTTCCTTCCTGCTTGACATGAAAACACAGTGAGTGTTTAGCTAGAAGTTTTTCAGAGATTCAACACTCAGTGTTGACCTCAGTTTAAAGCAATGAGAATTACTACCTAGGAGCATCGCTGACACCTTCATCACCCACATGACGACGTTTCACGTCTCGATCTCCGTCTTCCTCGCCAATCATAACCGCATCATGTTCTAGAGCACCGGGAAAAGCACCGGGAAAAGCACCGGGAAAAGGGCATTGCTCTGAGGGGAAAAAATGATCAGACTTGATTTGTAAAGAAAATAGTGTGTAGAAAAAAAAAATCACCATCTTTTTGTCCGAAAGTATTCTTACAGGCTATGCATCTGCAGCTCGGGGAGCATCCGACGCCCATCTTTGTATAACATGGACACGATTACATTTACATCCGATAGTTTAGAAAGGGCACGAGGGCTATCACATTTGAGCTGCTCACCACAAAGGTCAGATGCCTTAACAGATTGCAGAACATCTCTCGAGTTAATTACAGCTCCATCAAGGAGAAACACTGGATTCGGTGTGTCCGACTCCGAAGGGGATTGGTGCCTAGAAAAGGAAACCGAACACAGACCCAGTACCATTCTGAGAGTATGAAAACGAACCTTATCATGTCGACCCAATAATGTAATTAATAGAAAACCAGATTCACCTTTTGAATGAAAATCTGGATGTTGTCTGAGGTGAAGTGACTAAAGCTGAAGGTGACGCAAAAGCAAATGAATTCGATATGTTGTTATCAGCAAGAGCTGACTCTAACAGGTTCTATAAATACCGGAGAATCCTGCGCTTTAACGAGAAAAATTAAAAAGAAGATTAGAATCTAATTTCGTAGAAGCATCACCGACTCGATTCAACAACGAAGCCGCGTGATCAAGCACATAGCTAATGATCCACGCCCACTGAAAGTTAGAATTGAAGGGAAATACTAACTTGGTAAACGCCATTTCAAGCATATTCAGGAGACATGCAAGTAGAAAACCTCAATCCTCGAGACGACACAGAGGAACAAACCCTAAACCACTAAACTAGCTGATAATTAACGAGATGCGTGTAAAAGGAGCTTCGTAATACCCAGAATGGATGCCTGCAATCTAGTGAAATCCTCGTTTAAAGACTACAACATCAAAGAAAATTACGGAACAAAAAAAAAAGAAAACAGCCAAGGAATCTAAGCGAATTCGGAAAATCTACATGCAAATCCGCTAGGATAGTAGAGAAAAGTCTTAAGCAGAAGTTAGAAACAAGAGCAAGCAAAAATGATGTCGGAAAGAAGACCTCGAAGGTGAAGAGAGAAACGCCGGCGATGCGGTTCTTATCGGGCGTATCCATCTCCGGCGAGGCTTTTGCTCCAGCCATGGATGCTACACCACATCGCTACCCTGCGCCGCCGCGGACGCCCCGGAAAAAACCAAGGCAAGAAGAACGGCAGAGGAGCGGGAAAGCGGGAAAATGCGAAAAAGTTGTGGTTTGGGTTCTCCGGGGAAAAAAAATATTTTTTGAAATTGATTAATTACGTATCTAATTATTTATTTGAAAAGGTGAAAGAAAAGGGCAAAAACGAATGGGCCGTTAACTCAAGATATGGGCCTCCAAGATGAGCCCATATTACTTTTCTCATATGTATTCACTCATGAATTAGGCCACAACTATTATATATATATATATGTTACATGCACGTATTTATCTGGCGGCCACATCACACCATATGCGTATATATACATATTTATTTATTTTCTAATTATAATATATTATATATAGATATATATGTTTTGATAAAATTTTATAAACATTTCGGAATTCTCTGTCCTCGTGTTTACCCAATTATGTAATGAAAACCTTGGCTTGTAACATCTAAAATTTTGGACCTGTGGTTATGCACCTGTTTTGTCCTCGATTGCATATTCGAGTAGCACTTGCGTAAAGGTCAAACCTTTCCGAGTAATTTCATAATTACATGAATCAATACCAAGATTTTTTTTGGTAATCCAGTACCGTGAGTCAAGAAATAGACTAATTCCGCAGTCCACTACAAACCACGTGATTAGAATTTGCGCTCCCCTTCCAAATTTGAGACTCGAATTCAGACGGAACAGACGTTTTGCGTCTCTTTTATCACCGGTTGGATCTCAATGTCAAGTCTTGGCATAACTTTATGCTTCAAGAACATACTTTTAATTCGATATCGATTTGATTATTCAGGACAAAACCTCTGGATGGAGCTGAGTTTTGTCTGAAGATGAAGTTTGGATTTGGATAGTGAAAAGCTCGAAGAAGCTTCCATGGAGTAATTACATGTAAAAGTCTTTAGGCACATGAACAAATATGCAGAAACCATGTCTTCATTAATATTAACACAGATCAAAGCATAATTACAGTGAAACATCATGCGTATTGATGAACGGCTAACGCCAGGACACAACCCAAAGAGACATAAGGCGACGTCTTGTAAGAACACAGAAGCGCACTAAGGAAGAAGACGAACGTACCATAGACTCAAGAACTCAGCAGAAGAATCAGAATCTCGAACTCATTTCCACAGGAAATTCTTCAACTGGCTTCCTCGATTGCCTTTTTCGCGGTCTCGAGGTCTTCGTCCAGGAAAATATCCCAATGTCCGTCCCAGGTGATGAAGAACTCGGTGTCTTCGTGATACTTGACTCGGTGAATGTCGCCGGCCGGCGTGAAGAGGTAATCGCCGTCGACGAGATCGTACCTCTCCTTCTTGCTCAGATTCCACACGCTCTTCTTCCCCTTCAGGACCACCAGGTCGTGGCCGAACGTGTGGTGGTGAGCCGGCTCCACGCTTCCCGCCTTAAATCTCACCACGGCCGCCGTCGGCGACTCCCTCACGATCTTCATCGACCCTCCCGGCATGATCTCCACCGGCGTGAACTCCCTGTTCTTCGCCAAGCAACACAGAGCGCAAGGGACCGACGGCTCGCCGGTCTGTTTGGTCGCTGAATCGGCGGTGATTTTACCGATCTTCGGTATGTCGGAGAGCGAGTTGTCGAAGAACGAACACATCTCGGAGCTCCACGGCTCGGACCCAGAGGCAGGGCAGGGAGACTTGAACGGAGTGTTGAGCCAGGCCGTGACGATCTCGACGGCGCTATCCGGCGGAGTTTTCATGCCGGAGAGAGCGATGACATTGCACTTGCTGATCGATCGGACGTTCACGGCCTCCTCGACGGAGAGACACGTGGCGGCGTAGACTCCGGGGAACTTGTTGGCGAACATCGCGACGCCTACGCCGGTGCCGCAGCATAGAAGTCCCCGGACATCGGAGGAAGATGCGGCGGAGACACGGATTCCGACGTCGGCTCCGGCGGAGTAGTAGGAGGAGATGCCGAGGTCCTCCACGTCGATTCCGACCGAACGGAGGTGGGACACCATCGCGTCCTTGAGGCTCGCTCCGAACTCATCGGCTCCGGCGATGATCTTCGACGGCCAATCACCGGCGGGAGAAGGTCCGGCCATGTCTGCGGAGGTTGGATAGTACGGAATGTGAGAGCAAAAGCTACGGTCTGAAAAAACTGACCACAAACGTCGAAAAGATCTTTATAAATGCAACAGGGCCCTGAATTAATTTCTCATTTCTGAAATGCACCCTTTAATTTAATATATATGTATTGGCCCCCAACGGAGAAGGGAGATGTTAGAACGAGACAAAGTTTTCTGAAGGTTTTGTAATTTGTTTTTTTGGTATGAAAAGGTTTTTGTAATTATAAAATCTTATGGGGTTGGTTCTGGACTTCTTTGTACCACGGCATACACTTCTGGCTGGTTGTGCCCACTCGCAGAGATATCTCGAGAGCTCCGCCGGAAAAAAAAATGGCGGGAGTAACTTGCCGGATACTTTTCAACTTGCCGTCAAATCTGATGGTGAGTCCGAAGCTCGTTCTATGGATTGGTTTTTCATCTGTTCAGATTTCATGATTCCTTCTTTTTGGGGATTATAGTGCTCTGCTCAGAGGGTGTATCCACCGCGATGTTGCTCTGGTTCGCCGGAAAAGAAGAAAACTCCGGCAGTCGTGAAATGGGCTGTCGGTGGAGTCACGGAACTGATTCGGCTGGTCTCCGCAACCGATCAGAACAGGTAATTCGCGATTCAGTTTCTGATTGGATGGCGATGAAATCACAGATGCTAATTCGATTGTTAGGAATGTTCATGTCAAGATTGAGAGAAGCTAGCTACAGATCAAAGGACGAGATTATCACTGTTCGAAATTCTGATGACTTGATGATGATTCTGAAGTCGGATTACAAAAATGCTTACTTCGTCACAGGTAATTTTCCTCGGAATTTTTTCGTTGTGCATAACTCAATGTCGGATTTCTCTGTTCATCACTCGTGTCTTCAGATTCCGAAATTGCTTGTTCTTTGGAATCAGGAGTCTTCACATCTGCAATTTATGCGGACGATTGTATCTTTGAAGACCCTACAATCAGTTTTAAGGGTGAGAATGACAGCTTATGAAGCCATTGATCCTCTCGTGTGATATTGTCCACGCAATTTTCTGTTTGTGTCCGATGTTTCTGCTCTGAAGTAGACAGATCTTGATTCATACCATCTAGTTTGGACCGAGATTCCGATTCCATTGAAGTCAGATCCTAACTTTTCATAGTTTCTTCTGGATATGAATCTTCAGGCACAGAGTTGTATGAACGCAACTTGAAATTACTGGTTCCTTTCCTCGAAGACCCATCGATCGAACTGAAAAAGATGGAGAAGGTAGCATCTGTTTGAGTCCTAGGAGGCATATTGCCATTAATCTTCTTGTCTCTTTTGTAATCCGCTGTCTCACTCACGGGAAAGCTTCACTTTCCATGGAACGGTGAAACAATGCACAACAACCGCCGGTTTCAAAACACAGGGTGATGATGGGTCGGAAAGAAACTACATACTCGCGACATGGAAGCTAAGGTATTCTGCTGAATCAAACCGACGGTTTTGCCGATGGTATTTCTTCAAACATGTTCTAATCTTGAAGCTGATCAGTGATCACTTCCTTGCCTGAAAAATTTTGCAGGACATACCTGAAACTTCCATGGAAGCCGGTGATATCCATCAATGGAAGCACGGTGTATGAACTAGACAGAGGCTTCAAAGTAAGCTCCCCCTCGAAAAACAAGTCCTTACGCGTAATGGTGTTTTGGATACATTTTGGCAGGTGAAATCAACAATGGGTTCTTGACAAAAAAAAAAAAAAAGATTGTCAGGCACGTGGAGAGCTGGGATGTATCTGCGGTTGAAGCCATCAGACAAATATTCAGATCCTCCTCAACTCTTGGAACTTGATCTGACTGAAGTTCGACCCGTCAAAGTCTAATAATGTCTTCATAGGATATCTAAGTTGTGGATTCTTTCCTTCGTCCGAGGGTGAAGAGTTCGGGATTTTTCATGATGTGATATGAATCACTTGAACTGCTTACTGTCGGGACAAGTGAGGAAGCCTATGCCATGATATTAAAACCTCTGCCATGCCATGTCTTCATAGGATATCTAAAATGTAAATTTTGTCCGAGAATATAAAATTTTTAAAAAATGAAACCTCATGTTCGCTTTTAATTTGAGTTTTCATGATTTTTAGTTGGATATAGATCTGGATTCCGAACTAAATAAAATATAAATCGATTGAAAATAATTGTTCAAATTAAATCAATCAAATTTTAATAAAATTGGAATCAAAATATAAAAATAATAAACGAAAGCAACAAAATTTGATATAAGAATTCAATGAATGTAGTTTTCAAGTTCCACAACTTCGTTAGGCTTCACTTTATTTCAAAGCCCAAATTGAGGATTTGTAGTTTGTTTCATTACATCTGACCCAAATAAAATTAGGATTTGGCCCATAAATACAAACCCTAAGACCTGAACAATTGAGGAGATGCCGAGGTCCTCCACGTCGATTCCGACCGAACGGAGGTGGGACACCATCGCGTCCTTGAGGCTCGCTCCGAACTCATCGGCTCCGGCGATGATCTTCGACGGCCAATCACCGGCGGGAGAAGGTCCGGCCATGTCTGCGGAGGTTGGATAGTACGGAATGTGAGAGCAAAAGCTACGGTCTGAAAAAACTGACCACAAACGTCGAAAAGATCTTTATAAATGCAACAGGGCCCTGAATTAATTTCTCATTTCTGAAATGCACCCTTTAATTTAATATATATGTATTGGCCCCCAACGGAGAAGGGAGATGTTAGAACGAGACAAAGTTTTCTGAAGGTTTTGTAATTTGTTTTTTTGGTATGAAAAGGTTTTTGTAATTATAAAATCTTATGGGGTTGGTTCTGGACTTCTTTGTACCACGGCATACACTTCTGGCTGGTTGTGCCCACTCGCAGAGATATCTCGAGAGCTCCGCCGGAAAAAAAAATGGCGGGAGTAACTTGCCGGATACTTTTCAACTTGCCGTCAAATCTGATGGTGAGTCCGAAGCTCGTTCTATGGATTGGTTTTTCATCTGTTCAGATTTCATGATTCCTTCTTTTTGGGGATTATAGTGCTCTGCTCAGAGGGTGTATCCACCGCGATGTTGCTCTGGTTCGCCGGAAAAGAAGAAAACTCCGGCAGTCGTGAAATGGGCTGTCGGTGGAGTCACGGAACTGATTCGGCTGTTCTCCGCAACCGATCAGAACAGGTAATTCGCGATTCAGTTTCTGATTGGATGGCGATGAAATCACAGATGCTAATTCGATTGTTAGGAATGTTCATGTCAAGATTGAGAGAAGCTAGCTACAGATCAAAGGACGAGATTATCACTGTTCGAAATTCTGATGACTTGATGATGATTCTGAAGTCGGATTACAAAAATGCTTACTTCGTCACAGGTAATTTTCCTCGGAATTTTTTCGTTGTGCATAACTCAATGTCGGATTTCTCTGTTCATCACTCGTGTCTTCAGATTCCGAAATTGCTTGTTCTTTGGAATCAGGAGTCTTCACATCTGCAATTTATGCGGACGATTGTATCTTTGAAGACCCTACAATCAGTTTTAAGGGTGAGAATGACAGCTTATGAAGCCATTGATCCTCTCGTGTGATATTGTCCACGCAATTTTCTGTTTGTGTCCGATGTTTCTGCTCTGAAGTAGACAGATCTTGATTCATACCATCTAGTTTGGACCGAGATTCCGATTCCATTGAAGTCAGATCCTAACTTTTCATAGTTTCTTCTGGATATGAATCTTCAGGCACAGAGTTGTATGAACGCAACTTGAAATTACTGGTTCCTTTCCTCGAAGACCCATCGATCGAACTGAAAAAGATGGAGAAGGTAGCATCTGTTTGAGTCCTAGGAGGCATATTGCCATTAATCTTCTTGTCTCTTTTGTAATCCGCTGTCTCACTCACGGGAAAGCTTCACTTTCCATGGAACGGTGAAACAATGCACAACAACCGCCGGTTTCAAAACACAGGGTGATGATGGGTCGGAAAGAAACTACATACTCGCGACATGGAAGCTAAGGTATTCTGCTGAATCAAACCGACGGTTTTGCCGATGGTATTTCTTCAAACATGTTCTAATCTTGAAGCTGATCAGTGATCACTTCCTTGCCTGAAAAATTTTGCAGGACATACCTGAAACTTCCATGGAAGCCGGTGATATCCATCAATGGAAGCACGGTGTATGAACTAGACAGAGGCTTCAAAGTAAGCTCCCCCTCGAAAAACAAGTCCTTACGCGTAATGGTGTTTTGGATACATTTTGGCAGGTGAAATCAACAATGGGTTCTTGACAAAAAAAAAAAAAAAGATTGTCAGGCACGTGGAGAGCTGGGATGTATCTGCGGTTGAAGCCATCAGACAAATATTCAGATCCTCCTCAACTCTTGGAACTTGATCTGACTGAAGTTCGACCCGTCAAAGTCTAATAATGTCTTCATAGGATATCTAAGTTGTGGATTCTTTCCTTCGTCCGAGGGTGAAGAGTTCGGGATTTTTCATGATGTGATATGAATCACTTGAACTGCTTACTGTCGGGACAAGTGAGGAAGCCTATGCCATGATATTAAAACCTCTGCCATGCCATGTCTTCATAGGATATCTAAAATGTAAATTTTGTCCGAGAATATAAAATTTTTAAAAAATGAAACCTCATGTTCGCTTTTAATTTGAGTTTTCATGATTTTTAGTTGGATATAGATCTGGATTCCGAACTAAATAAAATATAAATCGATTGAAAATAATTGTTCAAATTAAATCAATCAAATTTTAATAAAATTGGAATCAAAATATAAAAATAATAAACGAAAGCAACAAAATTTGATATAAGAATTCAATGAATGTAGTTTTCAAGTTCCACAACTTCGTTAGGCTTCACTTTATTTCAAAGCCCAAATTGAGGATTTGTAGTTTGTTTCATTACATCTGACCCAAATAAAATTAGGATTTGGCCCATAAATACAAACCCTAAGACCTGAACAATTCGCTCACTGTATACATATTCTAGGGTTTCGGTCCGTGATTCTTCTTCTTCCTCAGCCAAGTGGAGCAGCTGCAAGTGAGATCTGTCACCGGCCGCGTTGCTTGACTAAGATCGCAGCCATGGCCGATAAAGCAGTCACTATCAGAACCAGGAAGTTCATGACCAACAGACTTCTCTCCAGGAAGCAATTCGTGAGTCCTCTCTCTCTCTCTCTCTCTCTCTCCTTGTTTCTGGTGTTCGGCTTTAACTTTGAAGTGCTCCGTTGCGCTAATTTATATTACATTTGCGTTCCTCGGGAATTCGTGGAAGAATCAAGTAGTTATTGAAATATCCTTGTTTCGGACGTTTTAGTCTAATGAATCGAGAATCTAAGTCAGACTTTGTCTCATGTAGATCTAAAAATTAGAATTTGATTGTTGGTAGCTCTTTCGGTATCGTGTGAGCGAGCCAATGTGATACTTGATTATGGTGGGAAAGCGAGGAGCAAGTGAAATTACATGTTTGCTAATGTGGAATCTGCTCATACCAATAGTTGGAAAATCTCGGGTCTGAAGAATTAGGGCTTTTTGCAGGATGAAGCACATTTAGTTTTGATTTCTAGCGTTTATACACAATTCTGGATATAATTCTCGCCTATGCTGCGGCATTACATACTATTGCTTTGATTTGTGAATGTAGGTTATTGACGTTCTTCACCCTGGGAGAGCCAATGTCTCCAAGGTATGCTACTCTATTTGTTTGCATTGATCATCTAGTTGCATTTTTTCCTCATGTAGTCAAATTATGGACGCTTTCTTCAATTTTATTGTTGTAATTCTATGTCCTCGGTGTTATTTTATGAAGGCTGAGCTGAAAGAGAAGTTGGCAAGGATGTACGAAGTCAAGGACCCAAACTCTATCTTTGTTTTCAAATTCAGGACCCACTTTGGAGGTGGTAAATCTACTGGGTTCGGGTTGATCTATGATTCTGTTGAGAATGCAAAGAAATACGAACCCAAATACAGGCTGATCAGGGTAATGCTCCACATCTTTCAGTTCCTCACTTCATTCATTTCAGTGATGGTACTACTACCTATAATGTCATTGTCTAAAGGACTATGAGCGATTCCTAGTCTAGCATCATCATCATGCTGAAGCAGGAACTAGTTAGTGATCATCATTATCATCGTCATTAAGCTTGATGATTTGGTCAACATTTCATACTGAAAACTCATGCAGAAGCAGTATAATCAACTGAAAACTCCATGCTGTGTTTTACCGAATGTTTTTCTTCATTTGCAGAATGGACTTGACACCAAGGTCGAGAAATCGAGGAAGCAAATGAAGGAAAGGAAGAACAGGACGAAGAAAATCCGTGGTGTTAAGAAGGTGAAACAGATTAGTTACCACATGTTATATCCTACTTTGTTCATCGGTGAGTTTGTTTGTTATTAACGGGGTAAATCGTGTTTGTTGCGTGTAGACCAAGGCCGGGGACGCAGGAAAGAAGAAGTGAGACCCTCCAAAACAGTAACCTAGGGTTTGCTTTTCCATCACCCTCCCTTGTTCATTTCCATGTCTGCTGTTACATCATTCTCGAAATAGGCAGGCCCTCTTTCTACATCTCAGTTTTGTGTTACTTTGTGTTTCACTTGATCACTTTGTTTAATATGATTCAGATTTCGTTTAATTGGTTAGAAAATTCGATTTCGTTAAAGGGTTTTATCTACTGAAATGGGTCTAGCTGGTACTGATGATTTATTTACTGTATATTCGAACAATACGGTTGAGCTTTTGAGGGTTCTTGAGAAGAGGTCATTTGAACAAAATGCAGAATAAAATCTATTTTACGAATTTGTGTTCATTTAGAGAACAAAACTCTTTCAAGCTTTGTTTTCTGTTGAATTTGCTGACTTTTATTTCAAAGTTTGCACCTTTTATCTGCTTTTGTCTATTTGTTCAAGAATGGAAAATAACTAACGGAAACTAAAGACATGAATATTTGGGAAACGCCAATCGCGAACGCTGTTCAAGATAATCGCGTTTGTGGAACGCTCTTTATCTTGAATTGCTCTTCAAGATAATCGCCTTTTATCTGCTTTTTGCCTATTTGGTCAAGAATGGAAAATAGCTAACGGAAACTACAGACATGAATATTTGTGAAACGCCAATCGCGAACGCTCTTCAAGATAATCGCGTTTGTGGAACGCTCTTTGGTGGTTCTGTTTCAGCCAAAAAGACAGAGAACCGCGATGATGACGAAGCGCGGGTTCAGGACCACCGTCCTCGTCATCGTCAATTTTGTGTGATACCGAAAATACCCCTGGTTGGGTCGAAGATTCTCACGCCTTACCACCAATCCCAACCCAAGCGAACCAATCCTCGTGATCTCACTCCTCTCCTTGTTCTCCATCTGGATCTGGTTCTTCCTCTTCGGCCCCATCCGATCGGGCCTCAAGATCTGGTTCTTCCTCCTCGTCCCCATCCGATCGGACCTCAAGCGCTTTGAATTCCTCAGATCTGTTCTCTCCGATTGTGGCTGTAACAGTGTTTCGCGGAGATGGCATCGGAGCAGGGTGACGCTGTTCTGTCTCTGGAGTCGCCGGATCTGGAGGAAGATGGTGGAGGTGGAGGTGGAGGTGGAGAGTCTGATTCCGACGAGGATTTACGGGAGAATGACGACGTTATGATCCCTGAGGAGAATGACGCCGACGACGACGATCCGGAGGAGGAAGATCTGAATTCGCCGTGTACTTCGTCACTCGCCATGGTCTCCGCGGCGGCTGTTGTGGTTTCCCCGACCGATGCCGTAACCGTGGCCCTGCCGGCGGGATCCGCCGTCGCTGTCGCCGCGATTCCTGTAGATTCCGATCAGAAATGGCATCGTATGACGGAGATCGTTCAGCAGAGACCGGCGCTCGATGACTCGAGACGGCTTTTTCAGAGGCTGTGGACGGACGAGGACGAGATCGAGCTCCTCCGTGGGTTCCTCGTGTATATGACGTCGCACCGCGGGAGCAGCTCTCATCCGCCGGACACGGCGCCGTTTTACGAGCAGATAAAGTCGAGGCTTCAGCTGGATTTCAACAAGAACCAGTTGGTGGAGAAGCTCCGGCGACTGAAGAAGAAGTACCGGAATGTGATGAGCAAGGTCAGCGCCGGAAAAGAGGTATTCTTCAAAAGCCCTCATGATCAAGCTACTTTCGAGATTTCTAGGAAGATCTGGAACCATTCCGGGAAAATCATAGGGTTTGAAGATAACAACGTACCCGATTTCGAGGAAACTAACCACCACCACCATGTAAATAACAACAATGGCAATTCAATCATAAACACCCCTAGTGGTAATCTGAATACGGAGATTGATTCTGAGAACGGCGTCGAGAAGAAAGCGATGATGAGTAACAGCAGTGGGTCAAGGAAACGATCACGATCAAGAATAGGGAAGACAGAGGAAGACAAACCTGTTACCCCGTGCGATGGAAACGTAGGAAATGCAAACGAGAATGTAGGCGGGGGGAATCTAGCTGGGTTGATAGAAGAGACTGTGAGAAACTGCGTCTCACCCGTGATCAAGGAGATGATGAACGGGACAACGGCTATGATGATGGCCACCATGGGAGGGTTCCCTGGTGGTGGCGGCGGCCATGGCTTAGGTGCATTAAGCTTAAGCCCCATCTTAATGCAGCCACTGGGCTTGGGGCTTGGTGGTGGGGGTAAGTCGGTGGTGGATGAGCGGTGGAGGAAACAAAAGATTTTGGAGCTGGAAGTGTACTCGAGGCGATTAGAGCTCGTGCAGGAGCAGATCAGAGTCGCATTGCACGAGTTAAGAACAATGCCCAGTGGCTGACGATGAAGAAGAAGATTTGGATGATGATGTATAAGTTATTATGCCTCGCAAGGCATAATCTTTTTGAGTTCAAATGGGTCTACGAGATGGGCAATTGGAAGTAGTCTCTGTCTTTTCTCTGTGTCTATTTATTTTCCTGTAATATGTCCATAGGGATGTGAGAGAGAGAGAGAGAGAGAGAGAGAGAGAGAGAGAGAGAGAGAGAGAGAGAGAGAAGTTTGTGTATAATAAACCTTTTTTTAATAAGAGATTTGTAGTTAGTTTGGTAAAACACGAAGAAGATTATCTTAATTAATATTGATTTTGATATTTTATATGTTCAGTAGATGTTATAATGTATGTATGTATATGGTTATGCTGTATTTGACTTTTTGTATTAATCATTTGAAAATATTATTATACGTCTTAGGGTCGAAGAGTATTATATTGCACCCTTTTTTTAATCTGTCAACATGTATTCTTTTTCTCAACTCGTCAAAATTATTTTTATATTTTTAGTATTTTAAAAGATTTTGAAGAGATTTTCCGGGGTAATGTGAAAATCAACAAAAATCTTATTGTTCGTGTGATTTTAGGAATTCTATTTTATCTCTAAAACTATTGTCTTACTATATACACAATTTTATATTAGATTATGTCAATTTTTTTCTAGCTTTAGAAATAGAGTACATTAGACAACAAATACAATATTTTACGTTGATTAATATATATATATATATATATATATATACGTGATGTGATTGACATGGTTCCTTCAAAGGACAATTAATCACGAATTCCTTAGCTTATGTTTCTGGGTTGGTCAGCATTAGAATCTTAATATACAGTCACGAAATTCGTATTTCTAGTTTTTGTATACATATACGAATTGAATATTTTTTTTTACCTATACAAATTTTAAATATTTATATTAATAACATACAAATTTGTAAAGCTTTTACTTATATCATCACATAATTGAACGATTTTATCATTTTATCTAATAGAATTGGGTTAATATTAAAAATCATTAATTGATGTTATGAAAAAAAAAACATTTTGAGCTTAAATATTATTTTGTAGTATTAAAAGATATATGATTTATTTGTGTATATAAACATAAAAGTGTGTACTTGAAAATTTTAAAATTTTTAAAAAATCGAACTTTCTAAACTTAGGGCGAGAGAACAAAAAACAAAGGTCGGTGGCGGGACTGAAGAAGAATAACTAGAAACAGTTCAGCGAATCCTTCCTCGTATGTATGTATGTATGTATGTATGTATCACCTTGCCTTTACCAAAGCCCTAATTGATTTTTTTTTTGCTTCAAAGGTTTCTTTTTTTAAACCTCAGGACGTCGATTCCTCTCTCTCTCTCTCTCTCTCTCTCTCTCTCTGTGAATTTTGAATCCCTCATTCGTTAATTTTGTGGTCTCCTTCTTTAAGTTAGCTTGTGTGGATGTATCTAACGACTCTCAGATCCTTCCTTTCTTTGACTTGTTTCACAGCCTGACAGCTCCTGTCTGAAATTAGGGCTTTTTCCCCTTCTCTTTGGGTCTGTCTGGAGCTCGTTTGCTTGTTCAAGTTCGTGATTTGAGCATCTGGGTTTCGAACTCTGTTGCTCCTGGATCGTAAAGTAGGAATTTTTCTCAGGTGTTTTTAGTCAATCTGATCTAAGATATAACCCGTTTTCGGGTTTTCGAGCTGAATTCTCTTGTCTCCGTGTCGCAGAGGAAGAAGTTACTCTTGGTGATGTTTAGAACATGTTGAGAAATGAGGAATAAGTTCATGAAATGGGGGGCGTTTTCGGACGATCTATATCCCCAAGCTCGGTGTCTGAATCTGGACAAGAGAACAGCACAAGGATCGAATCTAATAGGGAGGAAGTGAACGATGTGTCAGTGACGAAAACCGAAACAGTGAGCATTCAGGTTGTAGTTACTGAGTTCCAGAATAGCGAGGCTGCGGTCGAGAATGGCTTGACCAAGGATCGAAAACCGGAAGAGGAAAGGAGGAGAATATCAAAGCCAGATCCGAGGAAGAGCAACCCGCCAAAGCATTTGCTCGGAGAGCAGGTGGCAGCCGGTTGGCCGCCATGGCTATCAGATGTGTGTGGAGAGGCACTCAATGGATGGCTTCCACGAAAGGCAGACTCGTTTGAGAAAATCGAGAAGGTGATTTCTGATTTCTTCGTAAAATCTGTTCTTCACGTTGTGTTCACGATGATCGAAAATCGAATGCTGAATCTGTTTTTCGTGTCCTCTCTGATGGTAGATTGGATCGGGAACTTACAGTAGTGTGTACAAAGCGAAAGATATCTTGACGAGCAAGATTGTTGCTTTAAAGAAAGTTCGGTGTGACATTGTGGAACGCGAGAGTGTAAGGTTCATGGCTCGGGAGATTCTCATGTTGCGGAGATTGGATCACCCGAATGTCATAAAACTCGAAGGTCTTGTCACTTCGAGGATGTCTAGCAGTTTATACTTAGTGTTCCAATATATGGACCATGATTTGGCCGGTCTTGCATCAAGCCCCGATATAAAGTTTACCGAGCAACAGGTCCTGTCCGATGCCCCGAGTTATAACTAGATTCAGAATCCGGGTCCTTTAGCTGATATTCTGATTCATGTTTTCAGGTTAAATGCTATATGAAACAGTTACTCTCGGGGCTCGAGCATTGTCATAGCCGAGGAGTGCTTCACCGAGATATCAAAGGGCCAAATCTCCTTATAAACGACGAAGGAGAGCTTAGAATCGGGGACTTTGGGCTGGCAACTACCTTTGATCCAAACCGGAGGCAGCAGATGACGAATGGGGTCGTTGCCTTATGGTATAGAGCTCCAGAGCTTCTCTTAGGCGTCGTTGAGTATGGCGTCGGTATTGATTTATGGAGCGTCGGCTGCATTTTAGCCGAGCTGCTCTCTGGCAGGCCGATCATGCCAGGTCGCAACGAGGTATCTCTCTTCGAGAGTAACTTATTCGTGGAAATGCATACCGAGCTATTGCAAAAAAAAAACCCGGGATTTGGTTTAGTGCAGGTGGGGCAGTTGCATAGGATATACAAGCTATGCGGGTCGCCTTCGGAAGAGTATTGGAGAAAGCTTAGATTACCATCACATCATAAGAACGTGTACAAGCCGCGAGAGTCGTATAAGAGACGGGTAAGAGAGGTTTTCAAAGATTTCTCGCCCGAGGCGCTTTCTCTCGTCGATACTCTCCTGGATATTGACCCGGCCGGGCGGGACACGGCCTCGGCTGCACTGTTGAGTGATGTAAGTTTTCTCAAAACTTTAATACATAGAAAAGGTCAAACCAAATAACATATAACCGTAACCGAATCAAATCTGATGTAAAAATCGAATGGTTATGATTTCTCTAAAATCGAAGAGGAATCCGAACGGAGCCTCGAAGATTTCTTTGAAAAATGAGTGTTTTATGTTTGTGGATTCAAGAACCTGCCGATTGATTTGGATATTATGCTCTGCAGTTCTTTACAACGGAGCCTCTTCCGTGTAGACCTTCCGATCTTCCGAAATACCCTCCGACCAACGAGATCGATGCCGAGAAACGAGATGATGATTTCCGGAGGTTGGCTTTCTTCCTTCTATCTCTTGCCTTGGAGACGGTTGATTTTCTGGCAAAACCCGTTTTACAGATCATCCGAAATTTTCGTCTTTTCGGTGGCCCGTAATGTATTCAGTTCATGGATGATGCTTTTGCAGACAAAGAAATGCCCAAAAGGCTCAAGGAGAGAGTGGAGGAAGAGTGAGACCCCGAAAACGAGCCCCGAGAGCCATGCCAGCTCCCGAGGCCAATGCCGAGAATCAATCCAACATCGACGTAAGTGTCGGGGAAATCTTTCTCCGGTTCCCCGAATTTTCGTTTCATCCTTTGACTCACCTCGAAATCATATACATTATCATGAGAAAGCTCCCTCCGCAGACCCGTAAAAAAGGTTTCTAACACAACACATAAAACCGGTCTGTCAGTTTTAACTGTTCTTGTTCTTGGATTCACCAGAAACTGAGAATGATTACGCAGGGAAACCCGAAGAGCAAGAGCGAGAAGTTTCCTCCTCCGCATCAGGACGGGACGCTCGGGTTTCTTCCCGAGGGTTGGATCGATCCCTCGGAGATCACTTCATGCTCAAACGAGCCGCCTCTCCAGATGTGGTCGGGACCTCTGGCGACTCCCGACATGTCCCGGAGGCGGAGACGCGGTGGCGGCGGCGATCCGTCAGGGAGCAAGAAGGATATGAGGTTGGATGCTAAGATCAAGGGGAAGGGAGCCATTGTCTGAGAGAGAGGGTTTCTTCCTCACAAAAGGTTTTCTTTGTCCATTTTTCTCATATGTTTTTATTTTATTTTATTATACGAGGAAGTTTACAACTTTGGACTGAATTGAGGAAATTATTTTTCTCTCTCTATATATATATCCCCAATTTGAAATCTCATATCGGTTGAAAAAATATTTATAAACAAATTTATCATATCTAAAAACAACATGTATAGTTTCAATCAAACATATGATATACTGTGCAAATCCAAATCTAATTATTTACCATTTATTTGGCTATAAATAATGTTACGATTACTAATTTAGTAGGATCCTTTAAAAAAATATATATATTATATATATCAAATATATACTTTTAAATATTAATAGAGAAAATCTAAAAAAACTTCAATTTTGAAAAAAAAATATTAAATTTTTTATTTTATCAAATAAATGTCTAAAACGTATCTAAAAAATACTGACCTTTTAAGTAATCTAACAAATACATAAATTTTTTTACGATTATAAAAACATTGAATATTTGTAATGATCTAAAAAAATAGATGAACTTTATGTGATTATAAAAAAAACAAAAGAATATGACGTGCTTGATTACCAAAAAAAAAGAATATGACGTGTTTATATCTTTTTATATTATATCAATCATTTTATTTATTTTGATAATCGTATGAGACTAAAATTTATTTATTTTAATAATGAAAGAAGTGTTAAGTGTTTGTTTTTGTTAAATTTTAAAATTTTAATATTTTTTTGATAAAATAAAAAATTGAGTATTTTTTTGGAATTTTAAAAACATATCTTATCTTCTTAATGGGGAAGCAAACTAAGTATTACGGTCAGGGGTGTTGCTTGGGCACTAACACACGTTGAAGAGCTGACGGCCACGTATATTATAAGCATAATATTACGTAAAATACCGATTAAATTAATATCTTTATTTATTATTTATCTTGACGTAGATTGGATCACGCAGTCAGTACTTGCGAAATTAAATAATATTTAAGGTCTCTGATGCGAATTAATGTGTTTTAGATTTACTTATTATAAGTAAAAAATGTCTACGATGATATTGACGCGTAAATTTTAATTAAATTAAATTAAGTTGTGAGCGAATATATGTTTTGTGACATTAGATATAAGCACAGCAACGAATTTACAAGAATAAAAAAAATAAAAAAAATTACAAATAACTATGTATTTCATAAAATCAAGAGAGAATCGCCGTAAAATATCTATATTTTTCTCTGGTCTCAATTTAATACATGTATTTTTTTAATTACTGAATAATATCTGTACAATTGGTTTTTCTCCAAATAAATTCTATACTTTTAAATTATTGGCCAAAAAATATCTACCGTCAAATAACCGCCATGTAGACAAACGGAAATCTTACATGGCGGCGAAATTCTCAACCTCTCTCCTAATCATCGCGCCATGTCATCGCCACAACAGAAATTAAATAATAAATAAATAAAAAAATAAATTACTTAATAATAATAATAATTAATTAATTAAATAAAAATCATAAAATAAATAATAAATATATATATACACATATACATATATTTACATACGTATATAAATATATATATACATACACATATATACATACATATAAACATACATATATATACCATATATAAATATACATATACATACACATATACACATACACATATATATACACATATACATATACATACGCATATAAATATACACATCCACACATATATATACATATATATACATACATATCAATACATATACACATATATATATATATATTAATACATATATATAAACGTATATATATATATACATACATACATACATATATATTCGTATATATATACATATACATTATACATACACATATATATACATATATACATATGCATACACA